TAATATAAATATATAGAGATCACCATTCATATAAAAATGTTACAATTTACAAGTGAAATTATTAAATAAAATAAAATATTCAAATTAATATCATAATAGAAGGTTACAACTTATACAAAGTGAAAATAAATAAAGAATGTTTTTTTTTTTCTTTTTAACGGGAAATAACGCTGACGTGGAAAATAAATTATTGGTTTTGATTAAAAAAATAAAAGGAATACGTGGAAACTACTTCTCTAATCTCTGTATATACACGCTACACAACTCGCCACCTACATTTTCTTTTCCTAAAACAGATAGCGGTGTGGATAATACTAAACGGTAGAGTACTGACGCCGTTTCGAATTCCCAGATTTAGTAAACGACGTTAAACTTCTTTAGATGACCATACAGCCCGACGAAAAGCCAACAGTGGGACAAGGTGATAACGGAGGCACTTCGAATATTCCTTTTCCGTTACCATCACCCTCCCCACAATCCCAAACCGCCGTCCAGTTTGACGGCGTTAACGGCCCACACGCAGCGTCAGTCGGTTTAACGCCCGATGACTCTGCCGTCTCCGTCGCCGTTTCTTTCTTCATTTCTTTCCCACTTTGTCTCTCCTCCACCTCAGCCTCTCGGGCCACCCTTTTCCGGCCGTTACTTTTCACCACCGGCGCCACCGCCGCTTCATTTAAATTTCCGACTTCTAGCGGGAAATTTAATATAGCCTTGCTGCCACGAAGCTTAAACGCCGCCCTGTCGTACGCCTTCGCCGCCTCCACGGCCGTGTCGAACGTACCAAGCCAAACCCTCGTTCCTTTCTTATTCGGATCGCGTATCTCCGCCGCAAACTTTCCCCATGGACGTTGCCGGACTCCTCTGTAATGTTTCTTCTCCTCAAAAACCGCCACCGTCGGTTCCGGTGATTTCTCGATCACCGGTGGAGGAAATGGAATGGATATGTTGAGAGATGGTTTTCGTTCATTAAAGCTACTACCACTACCATTACCAGTTTGTTTCCATGAATTAAAACTGAGCATCGATTCAGGCATGACGTTAAATTCGAACTGTTCATCAGAAACAGGTTCAAAAACTGGGGATGAAGAAGAAGACGATGGTGAATTAGTGGATGAAACTTGATGGAAAAAGAAATCAGATTTATGGGTATTGTTAGAATCATTATCAGAAAGAGCAGAGTATGTCTGAAGGAACGATAGATCATCAATAAGCAGGTGTTGACGGATGAGGTCTAAAGCTGAAGATTCATCAGGTGACGCCATTGTTGAACTGAAGCGAAAACCTTAAAGAGATGAGTGTTAGAAAACTGGAATCAGAGAGAATTGGTTGAGTGGAAAAGGTGGAGTGAAAGAGTATATATATAACAAGTAAAGAAATAGAGCGGATAGGGACAGCCAAAATGAGGATGGAGAGAGGGAGGTTCGACGATGGAGTCAGGAAACATCGGTAACTTTGTGAAGATGACTCAAAACTCAATGACTGCTTTATATTTTATTCTTTTACCATTCTGGTCCCTAATCTTTCATAATTCTTTTTATTGTAATCTATTTTATATTTTCTAACTTATTTGGTCCGTTATAATGCAAAATTTTCCAAAACAATAGTATTACATTACAGAACCCCTCATCCTTTAAGTCTTAAACTTGGTATGAGTGTGAAGTGACTTTTTGGTTAAGATTTTTTTGAAAGCATAGATATGGATTAAAGACAAAACTTGGGGGAGGAAATATGTAATAAATTGATAATTGGGGGTAAAAGAAGAAACTTGCTTGTAGGGTCCCGCAGTAAATGAGGATGACTGCGGTGATGGGCTTCTGTTGTCTATTTAAATATCCAACTATCTTTTTACTTCCTTCCGGGTTGCTTCCGTACATAACACACTTTTTATTAACTTGTACATACTGCAATATAACTTGTACATCGTTTTTTACTATGTTTAGTATCATACCTTATACGAAGGTGAATCCAAACGTTATTTTTATGGTTGCATCGTACCACACAAAACACAGCACTCCCTTTAGATTTGTTACGTATGTTTTGGAAGAAATCTGTACAGTTTAAGAAGGGGTTTTGATTGATAAAAAAAGATGAATCTATTTCAAACGATATGCCCTAAGACACAATTGTCCATAACATATTACACTTGGAAATGTTGGACAGTTAGTTAGAGTAGTGGGTGTTGTAGTGAAACTGATTGCAAAAGATACAGATACCTTCACTTGTAATTCCAGATTGTAGGTTTTTTGGTAGCTGTGAATTTTGGCTCATTGACACCATCGGTATTGGATCATACGTATATGGTAGGAGACATGACGATGACTAAGAATTTTACTCGATGAGTAAAGGTGTTGACTTTTACTTGGTTAGTGTTTACTAGGTATGAAACGTTTGACAACAAGCTTATGTTGCCATTTTAATAAACGAAAATTTTACGCGATAAAATAAGTGAGTGTATTTGACCTTTACTTGGTTATCATTGGTAAAACGGCTCCTTAAACAATAAAACATCTTGAACGATGTACAAAGTTTACGGATGTTCAAAAAAATCATTGGACCGGTCAAACCAAGTCAAGTCGGACTGTTTTGGGCGGTTCAAGGCTTTAAGCGGCTTGTTCTGGTTTGAAAAATCGTCAAACCGCTCGGTCTGGTCTAATATGCGGTTTGAACGTTTTCATGAGCTGTCTGGATCGAATTAACTGCCAAAAATACATCAATAGTAATTATATTTAGTTTTAGTGTTATAAATTCAACTTTATGGTACAATTAAAAAAAGTTCGTTAAGAAATTATGTTTTTGGCTTTCATCACGTTATTGACCGTGTCTATCTAAATTGACAAAATTTCGAAGTCAATCAAAAATCAAATCTAAACTTTTAAATCATCTTTCGACTTACTCAATGTTTGTCCAAAATTCAAACTATTATTAGCATTTGTTTAACATCTTTTTCAATTCGCTCAATGTTTTTTAGTTATAGATATAGATGTATATTTTATAATTTGATATTCTATTTTTTAATAATGTTAAATTGATAAAAAGAAAAAAAAATCTCATTTTCGATATAGATGTTATGTTTTTCCGAATTTAAAGCTCATAAGAGACTCAAAACCGTCTAAATCGGTCAAACCAGACCGTTTTCTATGATCCAACTTGACTGATTTAATCACTTGCCACCAAACCACTCGGTTTGGCAACTTTTTTAAACCACTATTACGGTTTGGTTTGTAGTTTGGGGGGTTAAACCATTGAAACCGTACCACTCACACCCCTACTTTAAATGGATTGTGTTGTTGAACAAATCGAATTGTCGAGTGATGAGCGTAAAACGAACCGAGGAAACATCTTAACAGATGAAGATTTATACAGACTAATTGGATTGGATTGGATTGGATCGGTTTTATGAACATTTTCTGAATTTACAAGATATGAAATGATAAATATATTTTGACCAAACACAAGTCAAGAAAGATCGGCCATTAAGTGTTGGTTCAGGTCACGTGATGGTGAGTTTGTGTCACGTTGACCATAAACCTTATGGTAGCTCTCTTTCCTATGTGTGGAATTCATCTTGTGATTTGTCCTTTTCACCCCCTTAACTTTTGTGTTCTTTTGTACAAGTAACATTAAATGTTGTAATAATTGTGATAATGCCTAAAATCTTATTACATTTTTATTTAAGTCATTTCATATGAAAATAGCGGTTTTAAACATATACTACATGTCTAGTCGATGTTAAACGATAAGACGTCTTTTTAAACAAATGTTAGATAGAGATGTCAGTGTTGAGAGAGGGTTAGAAAGATTACGGGACTAGACGAGTACAAATTGTCCCACAATGTCTTGTCCGTTGAGTTGTAGATATTGCTTCTAATACCATGTGAAAATATGTGGATTACTATTATATATCTCCAAGAGTCATTGAAGAGAGAATAAAGGTTCCAATATTATAGAAAATACATTATCAGAGTCTAGTTGTTATGGAACTCTAACAATCTTTATATTATTTCAAAAGAAGTTTCTATCTTTTTGTTTGTGATACACACACACACACACACACACACATATATATATATAATATGTGTGTGTGTATGTATGTGTGTATATATACAATGACAAATTCATTTGTTAACCTAAATTATTGTGTTAACTTTATCAACCAATCTTGACTATTGATCTTTGAAATTTATGACTAAGATCATTCATGACATAAATGGTAAATAATTGCACACATGGAAAATTTAACATAAGTGAACAATGTTTATAAAGGTATTTTGGAAAAAGATTTTAGTTGTCCATTAATGACAATGAGATGTTTTGTAACTGGTCATTAATGACAATGTGGTGTTTTGTAACTGCCCATTAATAACAATGCAACAATCTGGGAATTTATCTCGTCATCGAATCAAAACCAATGACAAGATCTCCGACACCAGATTCTTCTATAGTTTTTTTTGTTAATGGTTCATATGTGAACAAGTATTCGATATTTATGATAATTGTTCATGTATAAACAGGGGTGTATATGGGAAAAAAAAAGTCGTAAAGATGTTTGTAACATCCATGTTTTATTTTAGTAAACACATACACTATGTAGTCTCGTTCATATATGAAATAAATGTAGAATGATTACTGGTTCACCTATGAACAAATATCAAATTGTGTTTATGAACAATGTTCATGTGTTTACTTCTGAACACTATTCAATTGTTTTTAAATAATTGGTAATTTGTACATACCAAGTTTTTGTGTTTATTCATAATTGTTTAAACGATACTGAAGACTTTACTATCGGGTCTCCTCCACCAATCACAAATTCATAAACATTAAAGATAGAAGATCAATATTAAAAAAAATAACAAGATCGATATTAAATATGCACAAATCATGGGATTTTATGATCTTGTAACTCTCAATTAATGATATAGGAGTTACATAAAAAATTTACCTATATATCCTTGTCATTAAATTCTAAGATAGAGAAAAACCTAATACTAAGATGGATTGTGATTGGTTAAAAAAGTTTATAAAGTTAACACAATAGTTTGGGTTAACATTTGAAAAAAACTATCTCTCTCTCTCTCTATATATATATATATATATATGTGTGTGTGTGTGAGAGAGAGAGAGAGTTTGAGTGTGTGTGTGTGTATATATATATATATATATGTGTGTGTGTGTGTGTGTGTATGTGGAGGGGGGGTCATGTTCATACGAGAACATTAACTTAATAAGAGGAAAAAAAGATTATTACATGGAATTTTACACTAAAACCACATGTGATTCAAACAACTTTAATCGTGACCTGAGGTTGTGGGCTACTTCGCTCACACATCCTTACGTTGACCATTAATGTAACATGTGATTTGACCGTTTTTAGTGTTCTTTTATTTAGTTATTGTTCTTATTTCAACCCGACTCACTCACTCCCACCCCCTCTCTCTCATATATATAGATAAAGAGAGAGGGGTGGTTTCATTTATAAACTCACCCATTAGTACAAACGTACAAATCAATCTCAACCGTTCATCTAGTTCAAAAATTTTGAATTTAATAAATATATTCATTGTTTTTTTTAATATAAAACGTTGATTATAATAAATGAACTCTGATAATCTTTCATAAATATCAAAATTATAAAAAAATAAACTCTCATCATTTAATAAATATTTCAATTAATTGGTTTATATAGTTTGTGCTGAGTTTGTAAAAGATCTCTTCTCTCTCTCTCTCTCT